AGCTTTAATGAGCCATTTGGGCCTGCCTTATGAGGGCAGGGCAGATCTGGGTTGGGTGCCAACCAACCTTAAGGGTGCCCTGGTAGGGCTGGGCAGCTCAGACAGGCTCTGAGAGGTGGCAGCCTGCAGTGAAGAAAGAATTCAGAATGCCTACACACCAGAGAATCAGATGGAAATTGTACTTGGCTTGACAATAAAGGTAAAATAAAGGTCTGGGGAAAAAATGAACAATTGACAGTCTGAGTAAGGAGGATTTTCTGGTGACTGGATTCTCTCTGACCTGGGCAAAGCCAGTTAGGTAACTGTTTTGCTGATGGGTGCTCCTGGTAACCTTAAGTCACTCATCCAAGCCTCCTCCATCATGTGAATAAATGGATATCACTGTTCCACAAGGTGCATGGAGAAAGAACATATATAAAAATTAGGGTTGGCTGGATTCTGCAGTAGATGAGCCATGGGTACAGGTACCTGGGAGTTCATGTGGGCAGTTCTCATAATGGTCTAGGAGATCACAGCCATTGCCTGTACCACTGGCATTGTCTTGCATGTTGCAAATAATTTTCACTTATTTTTGCAGAAAAAATCTACATCCGTGTGATTGATCCCTTCACTATAAAGCCCCTGGATAAGAAGACAATACTTGAAAGTGCAAGAGCAACCAAGGGCAGAATCATCACTGTTGAGGACCACTACCATGAAGGTGAGCAGGGTCTGGGAGGTCACTGCCCTCAGAGGCTGGAAGCTCCCAGCTTCTGACCTGACACAGGAGTATGGGACCTGATGTTGTCATCCCATTAAAGCAGAAGAGAGATTTCAGCTTTTTTTGGTGCTGTTAGGATTATAAAGTGACACTGAAGGTTGAAAGGTTCCTAAGATGTAAGAGGTAATCAGGGCTGCCTTTCTGATTAACTTGGCCTTGTGTGCCCTTTGTGTGCCTGGTCTGAGTGAAGTCTGGATTCATTTGTGCCCAGTGAAATTGTAAATTCCTGCTGTGCTGCAGGGATTCTGCTCAGAGTATTCTCTGAAAGGCTGTACAGCAGCTGCTCTGCAGGTGTGAAATTGCAAGAGACCATTGCTGTGCAGGTTTAAGTATTCCATGTGTCCAAAAGCTTGGCTCCAGGTTGCTTGAAACCAGATGGTTTCCACAGTTTTTCCGTAGTTACTCTGAGATAAATTCCCTTTTTCTTCTCAACCATCATAGATATCTACTAAGAGAAATTAATAGATATAGTTATGGGAATATTATCCTAATTTAAGGTGAGCATCACTCTTGCCAGGTACCTGAAGTGAGCTGGTTCTACTGTAAGTGCTGGATACACCATGCTTTTGTCCCAGACTGTGGATGGTGATAGATCACTGAACCTCATCATTTTCTAGCTTAGTGTTCAGCACTGGACAAGTATTTTATGCAGGTTTGCAAGAGGGCAGAGTCTTAACTGTGAGGTGCTGAACAGGGGCTTAGTGCTGGCACAGTGCTCTGTGGTGCAGGCAGGGCAGGTGTCTGTGCATCAGAACCCTGAGTGCATTGCAGGCCCCATCACACTGATCCCACCAGCTGCATCCACAGAGGTGCCTCTGGCTGCAGGCTCAGTTTAAATCCCATCATGCCTGGAGCTGTGGACAGCCCCGTGATCTTGGATACACTCTGGCTGAAGGGTTATCACTAAAGTGCCTCTTCTACCAGGTCTCACAGCACATGCTTTTGACACAAGTCCTGTTTCCTTCTTCCCTAGTACTTCTGCTTCCAGTGTCTCTCCTGCCTCCCTGCAGTTCCCATTGCGTTTTTTGTCCCTGTGACTGATAGTGAGTCAGAGCTGAGCTCTGAGCAAAGGTTGTGAATACATTACATAACCCAGAGAGGTGCCCAGCAGCACGTACAGACAGGCACTGTGAAAAGATGGAGCTCTAAAGTGCTGCTGAGATAGGTTGGAATTTCAGCACGTTAAGTACACTTGTAAATGCTCTTCAGTCAAAGTGTATTTTTAAATTTGGTTCCTGGTGGCTGGTCCCAAGGTGATGAGAGCTTGCTGACAGTCTTGTGCCCTTGAGAGGCAGGTGTATCCTGTTGCTGATGGCTGAGTACTTAGGAAGTGGCAGCCTGCTTGTCCTCAGAATGCCTTTGATACAAGATAGGGTTTTCAGTCTGCAGTTCGCCCACTCAGGCATGTGTGATTGTGCTTTCCTGAAGCTGAGAATGGAGGCTGGGAGTCGCCCCTTTGCTCAGACACACACTCAGTGTGGATGTTCCTGCTGGGACACTCTGTCAGTGCCGTGTCTGCCCTCTCTCCACAGGTGGCATTGGCGAAGCTGTTTGCGCCGCTGTAGTGGGCGAGCCCGGTGTCACTGTCACTCGCCTGGCTGTGTCCCACGTGCCCCGCAGCGGGAAGCCAGCTGAGCTGCTGAGGATGTTTGGCATTGACAAGGATGCCATCATGCAGGCAGTGAGGGCAGCTGTGTCCAAGTCCAGGAACGCCGAGTAGTTCGAAGCATCTCATGCTGTGTAATGGAAGAGCTGCATTCGGAGAGGTTAAGGCAGGCAAAGGTGCTTTATGTAGAGAGTTCTAATAAAAATACCAGCTTAAAAAACCTTCTGGGGTTTAATCTCTTCTTTTCTCTGCGGTTTAGTGTTGTCGGGCAATACCTGCATGTTTAGAGTCCCTCCTCTCTGCATTGCCCCCAGCCATTTAAAACCAAAGGCAAGGAGGGAATACCCAGTGTGCTGGGTTATGCTGAAGTGGAGTGAGATGTTCCAGGTCCTGGGGAACCAACGGAAAGATGGGGTCCAGCAGAGCCCTGGGCTCAGGAAGAACATACTGAATGCTAGTGTAGACAGCACAACTGAAGGGAGTTGAAACTCTTCATAGGAACTTGTAGTTTTGAGTTCTTGGCTGATGCTGCAGCAAGGGTGATGCTGAGAAGGATTAAAAGATCTGGAAGAGGAGCAGGAAATTCCCAGGTACTCAAGAGGATGCAGCTCACTGTGTAAGTTGCTTTTTTTTTTTTATTTGAGAACTGACTTTTCTCATGGGACCTGCTCTAAGTGGCTGAGCTGTTCATCTTGCATGGTGGGATGCACTTGGTGACTTTTAAAATGTTTTGCTGTTTTTAAATGTTTTGCTTATTTTGCCCTTAAGCAATTTCTGTTAAAATTAAAAATTTATGTTTACTGCAGAGTACCAAATTTAAAACATTAAGTATTGAAACATGTTTGCCATCCTGACTGTTCCACAAATTGCCTTTCAGAAAGACATTAGACAGCAGAGGACACTAAAAAAGCCCTTTTCATCAGAGCAGGGTGACTCTGCCTAGTTTTCAGTTCACCCAAAAGCCATTTGCCACCAGCATGGCTACACTAGTTTGAGTAAGGCTTTATCTGCAGACTAACAAAAATATACAGTAGTTTGGGATGGTGGAATATTTCTACAAAGACATGTAAATGAGAATATAAATACTATGAAATAACTTGTATTCATCCTTCTTGCACAATTTAGCCCTTGAGGCATTGGGTGGCAGCTGTGCCATGTTGGTGCAGGCCTGAGTGCAACTGTTGGTGTTTCTGGCAGTGCAGCTGGAACTGCAGGCAAGAGTGACTGACAGTGGTGCTTCAAATTGCATACAACAAAAAGTAACTTTTCTAATCTTCTGAACAAGGCTTGAAATTGTTCCTGTCAAACTGAACTGTTTAGGTTCACAGCTTTCAGATTTACATTTCCTTAAAAGTCCCTGTTTGAGGCTTTTTCTATTCAACTGGTTGCCTTCATCATTTTGTGGGTATGAAGACCTTACATTTTTACTGAAAATTTAAAGATAACCCCTTTTGTTGCAGTCTTCCTATGATTGCAGTAGCCCTACGTTCTTGCAATGTGTAATACATCCTAGAAAATGAAATGAATGTCAAAGTTCCATGTTTATTTTACTCAAAGAAAGAAAAGGATTGGGGATGAGTCAAATCAAGCACTTTGTTTTTCCCCTGAGAAAAGATGAAATCTGCTGTTGTTAATAATCTCATTACTGCAGCACTCTGTCAGTGGCTATAACATCTCCCCAGCTCTCCTCGGGTGAAACCACTGCCCGCCCCCTGCTCCGAGTTCTGCCACAATCAATTCATCATCCCCAGTGCCAGCACTGCCCGGGCTCAGCCACGAGAGCAGTGCCAGCCTCTGCCTGCTCTGGGCAGCACCGGGGGGAAAAGGAGACCAAATTTCCTACAGAAACAGCCAGAGCCTAACCCAGAACCAGCACAGGATATTGGTCTGTTGATTTTGGTACACCAGAGGCAGACTGGTGTGATTTGTTAGGAATGAGCTGCCACATGGCTGCCTGGGGGAGGGAAGGTGAATGTGTTTATATTTAAATGGAATTGAACACAAAGCTACATCTCCATTGTCTTGCAAGCTCTGCTGAGCCCCAAACCATTTCAGAATCCAGAGTGGGGCCCCAGACCCCAGTTTCAGGTTTATTTTGGAGGGAGTGATGTTTTTTAGAGGTTTCACATTTCAGTATTTCACATTGGCCATTTGGGTGCTAGGTTCACCTCATAAAGCAGTTCCTTTAGTACTGGAAATCTGGACACCCAGGTTTGGGGAACTCTCCTGAAATACTTCTCCTAGGCAGCTTTCCTCATGCCTGTGGGATGAAGAAAAAGACAGCTGTCAGGACTGCTGTGTTCAGATTGTGCTATATATGTGCAGCTTTTCAGTATTCTTCATGTTTTGTGTCCATAAACATGGATAAACATGAACCAGGAGTCTGAAGACCCAACAACTGAAGCCTCCCTCCACCCCCTGAATTTTTATTTAAGCTATAGAATTCTTATAGACAGAATTCTTCAGACACTGCCAGGAAATAGTATCCCTGTGGAGTATTAAAAATGTGAAAATGTTCTGCCACAAGGAAAGACTCAAGATTAATTAATTTTCAAACCCAAGCAGCTGTAATGAACTGTAGTAGAATATTCCTAGAATATTCCTTTTTTTTTAAGGCAGTAAGATTGGAAATTGTCATTTAAATGAGTTTGTCTTAATTCTTGACCAAACCAAGGTCCAGGGAAGACAGATGCTATCAGTAAAAAGAGCAACGTTACCTCTTGGCCTGAATCTGTCAATCAGAGGAACAAAGCTGTCAAGGACACTCCGAATTCGGTACACTAGGTGTGAAAATAAATGTATAAGATAAGCAGCATAAAACATAAAAAAATAGAAATATGGCAAAACCCAAACACTGACACTTGTTTAAACAAGCACACCTGCACTATCATTAATAACAAAGATCAGTCTCAGTCATGAGAGAACCATCCACAACCTCCCACCATGTTAACATGAGATTATGAGAGGAGACCAGTTCTTGGCTGGGGAGCCATAACTTGCTGCTGGTGGCAGCTCTCCTATACCATCCCTAGAGATTGCCAAAATGCCCAGGTTTTAATATTTCCAGTAGCTGCTGCCATCCAAGTTCTGCCCCGAGCTCATCCTCAGTCCCAGGGGAGTGCATGGCAGCCAGGATGCAGAGCATCTGGGATCTGGATCTGGGGAGACAGGCCTTGCTGCTAAAATTACACGTTGTCATGGCGACACAGCATTCGGCCATTGCTGCAGAAAGAGGTGACTCAGGGTCCTGTGATCACTGAGAAGGAAAAATGAGTCAGCCTCTCCCTTCAGTAGCACTAAGGGTGCCTGTCTGCAGCCCCCTATAATTGGGAGATGTCGGGAGGGAGCTACGTGGTGAGTTATGGAATCTTGATCCCGGTAGGTTTATGGGCCTGTGGCAACTGTGTGACCTTATCCTTAGTGCAGGGACACTTACCTAGACCAAAGTATATCCCAGTGGTTTCCAGGGAAGCAAAGGTGATTAAGCCAATCCCAAGAGAAATAGTCCAATCTAAGGCAACAAAATAAATGTTAAGTTTGTTCATTTTTCTACAGTGCAACAATATATCCTTCTACTGAATCTCGCCTTACCTTTGTGGTAGTAGTAGCAAACTAGTAAAGCTCCAATTGCAAAGCAAAGAATGACAAAATGAAAGAATTCATCTGAAATTGAGAGGAAAGATTAGGTCACAACTGCAGCCATTGAATCAAAATTCACATTTAGGTAGAGAGTATCACTCATGGAATGAAATCAACTTCCTTGAGATTTCTCAGTTACTAGGCTCAACGTTATGAGAAGCCTTGATGATTTTCATCATGAAGCCTTGATGAACTTATACAAGCACTCATGTTGGAAAAATAAAGGTTTTTTTTGAACCAGAGATCTTATTCTTGGACTAAGGTTCGACAAGTTTGACATCAGTTAGATTTAATAAATAACTTACCATCCTTCCGTATGCCCATCCACCGTACTGTGCACTGAGGAGGGTGAGTGCTCTCCTTCTCATATACTACAAAAAAAAAAATCTTTTATTGCCATGGAACTGTGAAATTAAGGAGTTTAAAGTTTATTTCACTTTGTGTATCTGAAATAGATTGTCAGAGCAGAATATATGTTTAGTGGTCTGCAAGCCTTTCAGAAAGATCTAATTAGCAATTTTAAAATCACTCCAAAGAGCATGGTTTTAAAAATGAATTTTAAACCAGATGGCTGCATCAACAATACTGAATTGTTTTAAAGCACTCTGGGTCTTTTCTGCCTCTTCTGGGAAAAGCCACAGTCTCAGGATGACAGTGGGGGAGTAAAACCATAGTAAAAGGGAGCTTCAGTTTGATTCCTGGGTGCTTTGCACAACCACATCTACACTAAAAAGATCCCCTTCCTTACTGAGGATGTGAGAACCATCCCTCTTACTGACACCTGACATCAAGTACTTCTGCATCTCCCAAGATAAGATCTGCTGCTGAAATGAGTCTCCTGAAGCTACATTGGCATAGAGAAAAAGTAAAAACAAATGAGGTATTTTAGAGGTTTAAACATAGAGCAGTTTACTCTTTGTCATGAGCACAGTTCCGAATTCTCTTTTTTCTCCAACGGTATTGCCAGAAAGAGCTGAGTATTTTACCATCTCTCCAACAACAGGTTCAAAGCAACAGCTTTTTCCTTTTCTCTTTGTTGGTGGTTTGAGTAGCCCCTGAGGCACCTGCTGTACCCAAGCCTTTGGGAGTTGATTCAGCACAAGTTTCAGGTGCTGATTTCCCCTACACTGGGCAACCCCTGCCTGGCAGTGAATTTTCTCTAAAGATGTAACAGGTGAGTACTGGAACCGTCCTTTACCCTTGTGAGCTGTAGATTTTGCTGTGGTGCTTTTGAACCACAGAGCAACTGAACCTTGCCAAGGAATTCTGTTCTGGGTCACCTGATACAGGCATCCCATTTTTGCCTCTTTGGGTAGTCTGGATTGATCACATTCTGGTTTGGGGGCAAACTCAGTTATTTTCTTATTAATAACATAGCACTACATTATTCTGACTCACAGATACAACTTTGTGCAGTTGTATGAATGATCTATAGATAAAGAATTTAGCAGAACATCAAATCACACTTGACAAGTGTCTGTCCTATATTACTCCCTAAATACAACAGTCCCACTGTAACTTGGCATCATGGAATGACTTGCACAGTATATCTTCTGTTAAAGCATTCCATGTTATCTTATTACCTGGTTTCAACCTTCTACTTTTTGATTAGACAATCTCTAAGGCATCAAGGAGCTGATATTGCCCTCACCACTAAGCAAAACTCGGCCCTGTAAGAGCATTCACAAAATAAACTTCTGTTTGCATGTTTGTACTCACAATCTGCATCTGAATCTTCTCTTCTGGCAATCTCTGAAAAGTAATATAGTTTTGTTACTTCTGATGGAAAAAATACAAATATAGAGCTTTACACCAAACTCAGCACCAAAAAGCACAGTGAGTAATCACCTAGCTGCAACAAAACTCGGGTGAGTGGTAGAGGGGCCAGACCAAGTGGAAAAGTACCATGACCCTTTCTGCACCTGGCAGTGTGGGGAGAACGTGGCACTGCAATGAATCCCTCTGCTCTGGTGTTCCGTGTGGCTCCTTGCGGATAGGTAACTCAAAAACCTCCCCAAAGAATTATGCTGCAGTTTATAACTTCTCCACTGCACAGGACAGAAATGGAGCAGATCCTCTCCAAAGGCTGCTCCACTGGGCTGTTTGCCTCTTTTAAGTCATCCTGTGGCCTTGGCCTGGGCACAGCAGGGATGAGCTCAGTAAGGCAATTAAGCCGTTGGCAATTTCCTGCTTTGGGCTTTTTACAAACATTCTGGGGCTGTGCAGCAGTGTCTGGTAGGAGGAAGTCTGCCTTCAGACTGCCTGTCTGGGCAAGCCTCTTGGCTGGTGCTGTTGCTTTGTTGCCTGACATCTGGCTTTCACCTGGCACCTCCTGCTGGGAATACTGTGAGCTAAGGGAAGAATGCATGTGGAGCCAAGCATCATTGTTTGCAGAAACCAGGTCCCAGGTCCCTCTCAGCCTTGCACCCCTGTTCAGCAGGAGATAGAGGGCTTCAGGGAATGCTAAAAACTGCCTCTAGCTTTTTTTGGCTAACACTGAAAAGTTGCCCAACAGAACTGCTGGGTTTTCCCTTAGAGAATGACTGCTATAATCTGATTTTATGAGAACCTGGCAGGCCTACAAAAATGGGTTAGTCTGCCAGAACACCTTGTACAACTCACTCGCTGTCAGCCAGTCACTATCACAGCCTTGCAACAGAATGTCTGCACCATGCCCAGGTCCAACACCAGGTTAACTGGAAACCAAGGGATTTACAGCCTGAGAGTTATTTTCTAATGTCTCAGCAGGTTAGAAAGAAGACAATGCAGTTAGAGTTATTCCAGCAGGATGAGGTGACCTGGGAGCACTTACCTGAATCTCTGTAGGGTACCACCTCTGCTGGTATTCCTAAAACATGACAGAGATGAGGTAGGTGAGTACCTGCAGTGTCTGGTGCCAGTGCCAGCCCATCAGCTCCCTGAAATCAGTGTGGGTGTGTAACACAGACAAGGAAGAGACCAACTCTAACTCCTTAAAGAGAGTGGTTCTGCAGGGGGTTATGCAGTCAAAAAGTGAGAAATGACTGAATTCTTAACCCTCCCCTCTGCCCCCCATATTCCATCTCTCTAAGTATCTGGTGTCAGGTAGAATCAGACTCCTGTGAAAACAGATTAGATCTCCTAATGTCAATTTAAATGAGCTGCTCTTACATTTGGGCTGAGCTCAGTTTAAGACGTTAATTAAAATATTAATGCTTTACATTTTTACATCCATAGTTCTATAGGTATTTCTTTGTATTGGCACAGCACATTTTCTTCATCTGCATTGTGTTTATTTGCCATTTTTCCTTTGGTAGGAAAGGAAAAGTCTCAAGGTGGTCCTTGCTGATGACCTCCAGTCAGTGCTGTGGGCTGACTGCAGCCCCTGTAAGTAGTGGCTGTGACAGATGCTTTCAGAACCCTCTTGCTGCATTTCAGTGGCAGCTATGCAGACCCAGGCAGCAGGACTCCTCCAACAACAGCAGATTTTACTGTTTTTCTGGTTCAACTCTGTGTACAGGGCATGGCTGAGTGTCAGCATTAGTTGAGCTTCATCTTGTAGGAAATGTCTTTCCTACAGCCAAATTCTGACTTGTCTTTCTTTTACATCTACACATGTTAATGCACCTTTGCTCAATAGCCAAATCAAAGAGTGCAAAAAATAATCCTTTTTTGGTTTATACTGGTTGCCTCTAGTAAAAGCCAATATTGTTGTCACTTTGTCCTACCGCCAAGTAACTGGCCTTCAGTCTTCTGTCTTCCTAAATCTTCCTCATCACTGTCTGGATAAGAGAAAATGTTTGTTCATCAGAATAAAGAAAAATGTGCTGGCAGCATCAGAAACAACAACACTGTAGTTGTTTGCTCGTAATATAACCATACGAAGGTAAAAATCACGTCTTTGAAATGCAAGGATCACTATTGGGTGCTTTTGCCTCACAGCTCCCTTCAAAGCTGGCTGAATAGGTGAAACTCAGCAAAACCTGAAGTTGGATTATCTTGTACAAAGGGCTGTAGAGAGAAATTAGGATCTTTTATTTGGTGAAGGAATCTTGCAGCAAATTTCTATGTTTCTGAAACCAATTTCCACAAGAGTAGGTGGCAGCCACTATTTTGCTGATTCTGAATCAGGTTCTGATGATTTTTTAATGCTCTTTCTTTCGCACGATTTCTTACTTTATTCAAAGCTCTACAGAATTGCCACATCTCCTATGTCAACCCTTACAAACGTGCAGTCAGACTAAGCTATGTACCAGGGAAAATAAAATAAATCCTCTTTACCTTGTGTATCTTCATCCACGGACTCATGGGATGAGTTTTCAGACTTTTTGTCCTCTTCTGAATGTACAAAATTCCTTTCCAATCTCTTCAGGAGTTTCAATTTTTCATCTTTTTTTTTTAATAAAGAAAGAAAGAAAACATTATCAGTGATTAAACTTTCTATTTTACAATTACAGATCTCACAACGCTTTATTAAGAGTTGCCTAACAGGAAATCAGACCCTTTGTTTCATTTCAGCTGTGTTTTTAGCACACAAAGGGTAGTACAAAGCATCAAATGAAAGCATCATACACACTACAGTTTAGACTTTCTTAAATGGTTGTGGTAGACACCTAAAGTTTCATATTCTGGCGTTTAATTATTCATAATGTTACCCCTGTGCAAATTCCCACTCCCTGAAGCAGCTGCAGCTGAAGGATGCTTCAGCAGGAGAGAAGTGGCTCGCCCTGCCCTGGGCTACTCCTGCCAGGGCTCCCAGTGTGGACGCCGCGGCTCCAGCTCCCTCTCGTGGCACAGGAGCCCTCCCAGCCAGGCCACACCAGAACCCAACTGGTTCTGGCTCCTGTGGCCAGGGCTGACTCTGAACAGCTCCACACCCAGCTCTGTGCTCAGGGCCAGGGCTCTGAGCATATCTTCATCAGGAGGTGCAGGATTTGGGCACAGACAAGAAGATGGGATTCCTTCTCCTCCAGCTCCTCGAGGCTGCTCACAGCCCAAGGGTCTTGTTACCAACATGTCTGCTCTGAGAGATGACCAAAGCTGGGCTCTAGACTGGGAGGTCTCTCCCCTTCAGAGAGATTAAGGTCCCTTCCTTTAATCAAGGCAGAAGCAGAAACAGGATGTTCTTGAGGGTCTCCAGTTAAATTTAGGGTCATCTTAAGTGAGTGCTCCTCTGTCATCTATTAAAGACAATTAATGACTATGGACCCTGTGAAACTACCCTTAGTTTTTCACTGCACAACCAGGCAAATAAGTCCCTTTTATCTTGTTGCCAGGTTCACCACCCTGTGTGCCATCCCCCGTCCATTCATTTTAGTTTTACATGTGCTGCTAGGGAATAATTTGTAAAAATATTTTCACTGGCTCATCTCTGGTTTCTTACCACTGTGAGTGCTCAGAGGAGTCCTGGCTGGCTGGATAACAATCTGTGCAAAAAAGTCAGGGGAAACTTTCTCAAGTCAGAGAAACTTTTTTGGAAGCATCATCCCAGGACATGATCTCTCCCTAAACACAGGGTTTTTTTCCCCCAGAAGAAGCCAAGTCTAACTGCAGTAAAATTCTAATTTTGGCTCCCATTACCACCATACCTAACTGCCTTTCCTGAGCAGTACTTCCAGACAGTTCAGTTGTTCACTAATAATCACTTCCAAGCACATAACAGAGTGCTCAAGCTGCTGTCAAGTGCCACTGGCCCTGCAGTAATTTTAATAAAACAACTGACAGGAAGACGGGTAGGACTCACCCTTTCCTTTGGAGCTGGGCAGCTGCCTGTACCCAGATGGGTTGGAAGTCTTCAGCAAAAGGTAAAGAAGAGCCATTGCCCTGACTCCTTTCTTCTCTATGGCGTTCAGGCAGGCAGCACAGCCTTCAGGGAGGACATCACAGCTGTTAAGGAGCTGAAAAGAAGGTAAATAAATAGCAAATGGTTTTTGCAATAAAACACAGCCTGTAGAAGCACACACTGATGTGCAAATGAGTGTATCCCACTCTGTGGGAAATGTAACCCCCTGCTCCTACTATAAAAGGGGAAACTGAGGATGAAGAGTAATATCAAAGATGGGAAGAGAATGTAAACTGCATTCAGTGACTCAGAGCAGAGCCATCAACTGGAAAAAACAGCATGGAGGGCAATAGTTAACTATTCAGAGAGCTGGACAAATACAGCTATAGGGTCTGAAAATGGCCATACAATTGCTGCAATATCTTACAGCAAAATGTCACTAACAATGGTCCTGCTTAGAACATCGTGAGCTGAACTGATCCTGAGGAATTTATACAAAACCAGTTATTTCTGCACATGGAGAGCAGTGAAATAAAAAGCAGTGGCCTGAACCTCATTTATCTAAGTGCCCTGTTGCACCTTTTAATATATTTCAGTATATCAGATAGTGGGACTGTGTGTTCTCTCTCCCCAGAGTATAGTAGAAAGTAGTATAACAAGGATAAGTGTTTCTTTGGTAACTTACATTGTTCTTTTCTTCAGGATTCAGGATAGGTGGGTCAGTAGTGGCCAAGCATTTTACAAGTGATTCCCAGAATGACTGGTTCATTTTCTCATGATTCTCCAAGTATTTGGCATCAGCAGCAAATACTCTCTGAAAAATGTCTGTAAGGAACACAAACGTCACTGTGCAGGAGTAGAAGGGGTTTGCATGACAGTGCTCTTGTGGTGCTCAGTGCAGGTATGGAGACAGACACCAGGCTCTAACACATTGCCCAATACCAGCACACAGGAAAGAGAGTGGTGCTCTCTTGTATAAAGCATCTCATTCTGCCACAAAACAGTGGACAAATGTCAACAGTCCACACAAATGACTGGTGTCTCTGTGATGCTGTTGTCTCAGTTAGAGAAGCATGGCAAGTGTTCCTGAAGTATCCTAGCTATTTAACAGTTGCTTATTCTGACCATGCTGTCTTACAGACAGGCACAAAGACCCCAAGGACTGGATACCAAGGGACTGAGATTGCTCATCAGGCATTTAATGCACAGTAAAGTATCCTTCTAAATTCCCTCTTGCATGTGGGAAAGCCTAACAGGAGTCTGTGGAAAAGCTGGGAATTGACTGCTGGTGTCTCTTTCACAAGCAAGGAGATGGATAGGGTGTGTTTTCAAAGGAAACAGATTTCATTGACTCATGCCCATCCTGGCAAACACTGTTGTGCAGTGTGCATGAGCCAAAGCTCTGATCTTTGTGTGCTTCCCTCACCTTGCTGTTCTTCAGTAAGATCTGAGATTGGGACATCCAAATTCTCCATTGCTGTGCCTGTTTGAAAGGGAGAAAAAGTACATTTAGAATCAGGTCACTGACCTTCCTGGTTTTCTGTCTTTGATTTTCTGCAAACACAGTGTCTCTCTCTGTGCCTTTCAGTTTTGAAATCACTTCTCTGTTTCACATCATGGTTCACTTACCCTCCTGGGACCCAATTCTTGACTCCTCCAAGTGAGCCCTACTGAGCTTTAGTTATTAGGAAAGAACAAAAGTCTGATCATCATGAGTAAAACAGAAAGAAGTCAGACTCGATCATTCACATTGTTGTTTTGTGAAGCTACCAAGGTATCTAATTAAATATTACCACAGATGTGAGTAATAGGTCGGGTTCCATTCCTGAAACAGAACACAGTCCTGTACCTTTAACATTCTAATACTTAAAATGTATCAGCCAGGAAAAAATAGCAGAAATAGTTCCTAGAAAAGTCTAACAAGACTGAATTCTTGTCTCACAGAAAACTTTGATGCTTCAACATCTGTTCTTCCCAAGTTGTCATGAAGAGGAAATTTCCATTAACTTTAGCTTTATGAATTACAAATTTTTAAGTGTTGATCCCAGATTAATTACTGGTATTTGCCACAGAAACAAATGTTCTGACATCCCCAAAATTCAGCATTTCCTTTTGTTTTGATAAACTTTCCACAGAATTTTTGGGCTGAGGCTGGAATATTCTGATGGTGCATATTTTGTGGTGGCTGTGGTTCTGAACTGTTGCCTCTGCCTAGCGTGGTCCAGGCATGCTGCACTGATGCATCTCCCCTCGTGCAACACTGCAACTAACCCTCAGCTGTACTGAGAGATGCAAAAGGAGATTTTTGGGGAGCCTGAAGCACAGTTTCCATTATGCAGGATGCAATAGAAAACAGTTCATATGTCCACACTTTTTCTTACAGTATGACTTTTGGATCCATTCAACAAAATACTTTCAAGCAGTTTGAAAAGTAAGCATATCCTTCAAATTTTCCGGAGGAAAACCTGTTTCTTTTCCTACTGGCATTTTCAGTTCTCTAAAGACCATTAGATCAGTCTAAAAAATATTCTAATACAAAACCCAAAAGAGATCAGTTAATAGCTTCAGAAGGATACTGTAACATATAAGCAAACATTCGAACAGAACAAATTTTTAGGGTGTCAGTTCTCAGATAGAGGAAATTAGACACAAACAGTCTCTGGGAAAATCACATAACCACTTTCAAAAGCTCAGCTCAAAAAAACTGGCTTATCTGCCTCCAAAGTATATTGTGAGACAATAATATTTTAACAACATTTTGAAATTGTTTCCATTTGAAATTATTGAATCTATGCAACAGATCTGTAGATCTTTCCCTTTCCCTGACTTACATCCAGCCTTTGCTGCTGTAGCCCTGTGAGAGCTGTGAGCCTGTGAGCACCCGATAGGGAATGCAGGAAATGCATCTGTCCCCTCTGTGGGTAAGCACCAGCTGATGTGGAAATGCAGAAACCCAGCACACCACACCCTGGACAGACTCGTTCTTGGCCACTCCATCAAGAAAATCAGTTCATAGGCACATACACCTCCAGCTATGGTTTTCTGCCTTTTTCAGTCTCTTTCTTGCCTTCTTGTTTGCTCAGTTTAGACCTTGCAACAGTTGCTTGTTTAAGCTAAATCCTTTAGGCCTCTCTCTGGACCAGAGCTAAAGGAACAAAAGTACTTTAAATATAAACATTTTTTCCAACTGATTAAAAAAAATAATTTATAAGTATCCTGATATTTTACTGTTGAGTGAAACTCAGGAGGTTTGTCTTTGGGGTTCCTAATACCTAGTGAAGGCCACTTCCAGTGACATTTTAAGGCAGCTTGCAGTTCCCCTGACAGGAATATGTCACAGCAGCTGCCCTATCCCAGCTTTGCATCATCCCAAAGACAAAGTGAGCAAATGGGTACTACTTGACCCGTCCTGCCACGCACACAGGAAGAGCAGATTCAACACTGAAGGCAGGGCAGACACTGTCATCTTCATCTGCTAGCAGACTGATTTACTTCAAAACTGCTCATTTGCTGGTCCAAACTGAGCAGAGTGCTCAGCTGTTCCAGCAATAGAAACACAGTTGCCTAATGCACTTCTGCATTTTGCTGTGGTGAGACCTGGATGCCACAGGAGGATCCAGGAGCAACCAGCATCTGCTCCCATCTCCCTTTCTGTGCCTCCAGCACAGCTCGGCCCAGTCACTCACCAAGATTTACATTAAGCAAGGAAGTTGGGTACTTAATTTGTCTTAGACTATGCACAATTAATTCCCCTGTGGCTCTTCTGGAAAGAAAATCAGATCTAAACAAAGGATAAGTATAGGTGCTTAATTATTGTATGTTTTAAAAGTGACTTAGTTGATTATACCACATAATGAGAGAAGGATGATGATATACAGGCATTTCAGCCTGGCCATGAGCTCACTGGGGAATGACATGAACAACAGACTTCACCTTGCTTTCCTCACAGTAAATCAGAATTTAATTTCAGTGAGGTCTTTTTAACACATTAGAATAAAATTTGTGTGCAGAGAAGTCAGATTTAGAAAGTGAGGTTAACAACTTCCATACACGAGGTTTTGCTTAGCGAATGAAATATATCTGAGAGAAACTGCTCAATGGGATAACAAAAAAAATGCTAATAAAATAAGGTTGCTTCCACTTCAAGACAAAAATCAGACAATCCCAAACCTTTTCCCTTTGAAACTACTTTTACCTTTCATTTTAAGTTATATGCTGATGCCTACACTTGCTAAATTTTATTTTAAATATGAAGTCCCTCAATGTCCTTCTCTCAAACCACACCAAACCAAACCAAACCAACTTCTTAAAGCACACCTGCAAGTCTTAGGTCGGTCCTAGCAGTTGGTTTCACGGGAAGATGTCCTGGCAGGCCGTGGCTGTGGTGAAAGCTGAGTTTCCTCCTGTGAGACAACAAAAACTGATCCACACCAGCTCAGTTTGAAACCCTTCCTGCTCCAGTCTCCTCGAGCTGTGGTAATAATTCTGCTGCCCTCCCTGTTGTCAAATGTAGCTGAAATGTGATACAGAAGCAGCAAAACTCAGACTTTTGACTCTCCTTGAAGGCAGGCGAGTAGAGACCCAGCAAGTGAATGTCACTGCAGCAAGAGCAGCTCCCAGGCTCGCTCTGCCCAGCGCCATGGGGGTGAGCAAGGAGCAGGCACAGCACATCCACTCCTTACAGCTCCAGCATTTCTTTCCTCCCCTGGTTTCACAGCAAGCCCAGACACTGTGGCTGCACTGCTGCCAGCCCCACACCTGTAAGCCCTGCGGGGTTTGCTGCCCGTTTTCCAGCTCTGCCTAAAGTATTGACGTGCAACATTTGAAATTACCTGCTTTGTGTTTCTCCTTTCACACCGTGTGCCTCTCTGTGGTTGCTGCAAAGCTCTGAAGGAAGAACATTAACTCATCAGAAGCCAGAAATGTTCATGCTTGTTGTCTGAGTAAAACTAAGGCAAATAAATCTTTCTCTTTGCATAGTGTTGGGCTTGCCGTGACGATTTTAGAGGAAAAGAAACTATTTAAAACATGAGGAAGTTGAGCCAAGAAGAGAGGTTAGAGGGAAGTCCTGTAATCCCCATAGCACCAGAAACCTTTTCCTGTACAGTGGCTTGATGCCTCAAGCAGAAACCAACAACCCAGCAGTGTAGCAAGAACCAGCACGGAGCCCCCAAACGCCCTCAGGCTTGACCCCGAGAAGCTGCCGAGCCCCTCCCCAGCACTCACCTCCAAGGCTGTGCGGCAGCTCAGGATCCTGGGCCGGATCCCAGCCCTGCCTTGTGCCGGTGGCGGGCGGGAAGGCGTCAGGGCCGGGCCCTCACGTGGCCTCCCTGACTCACGGAGTGAGCGGCGGCGGCTGCTCCGTCTCCTCTGGCTGCAGAGGTCACACTCCCGGCGTGTGTGCCCTGTCCCCGGGCTCTGGGGAAGGTGGCTGAGGGCCATTCCTGCTGGCACCCATAGAGGAGCTGTGCTGCTCCCAGCCTGTCTCGGGCACTAATGGCCCTCAGCAGCCCTGAGCAGCCAGGAGCCCTCGCTTCTGCTCGTGGCTGCTCCAGCACAGCCCCTGATCAGGCTGGAGGCTCAGGCCCGCTTGTTTGGCATCCCTGGCACATCAGGGGATGTAGAACCCGCTCTGTGGGGAGAGGCCCTGGGCTCTGGCCAGTGACAGCAAAGGGAAATGTGCCCTCCACCCCACTTGTCCACAGCAGCCACAGAGGGTGCTGACAACACAAAGCTTCTGGCTCTGCTCAGCCTTTACCTGCTGTAGGGTCACTGGTGCTCCCCTCCAGCCCTTCTCAGCACCTCTGACACCCATCTCTTCAGCACAAGTTACCTGGAGTCACCCCAGGCTGCTTGCTGCTCAGGGCAGCTGCTCCCTCACTGGCAGCTGATGCTTTCTAAGCCAGCCAGCCTTCCCCACAAGAAAAGGAGAGTAGGACAGGAGGGGGCAGATTCCTCCAGTGCACCACAGTGGAAGGTGGCAGATGCTTGGTCACCTGAAGAGTGACAGCCAGTGTCAAAGCAGACTCCCTGGGACACCCCAATAGCACAGTGCTATTGATTACACAAGGCGTGGTCATGTAAGTCATTTGTCAAATTCAGCTAATGGTTTGACCTCGGTGCAGTTGGTATCCCAGGAAGGACTGTACTCCCTCTCTGTTCTCACTTCTTCATCTCCTGATGCTTCTGGAGAGACTGACACGGGTAAATGAAGTTATACTCCCTATAGCAGGTGTGCATTTATTTTTCTTTTCCAGATTGTTTGGCTGTTTGCTGTGGTTTTCTGGTATTTTTTAGAGGGGGAAAGGATTGGAGTTGGTGTTTGTTTAAGCAAGGTATTCCACTACTTTTCTACAGGTGCCTATTCAAGTGCCTTTTCTCACCTCCCCTGACATTTTTAATCACATGTAACATTGAACACTTAAAGCAGTTAATACCCTGCATCTACTGCTGGGAAGATTATCTAATGCTTTATCATGTAGCACACATGTTTACTTGGCCCTTATTTGGGAACCATCCTCTGAGAGGTTTAGGAGAATGGTGATTTAGTCTTTGCATGCTGGGAAAATTGCTTCCAGGAGGGGTTTAGAGAGGTGAGACACAGGCAGAACAGCTCTTATGCTTGACACTAATTGGGTGCAGTGTGTGTGTAGATTTGTCACAGAGGCAGGTTGCATGAGAAATGTAGAAATACTCGTGAGTGTAGGAGGGGCCCCAGTGATGTTACACAGAGTAGTTATTGCTCATTAAGTCATCATTTCAACATTCCCATGACTCCTCTTGCGCTACCGTGACTTTCATCCAATGGCTTGGTTAAATTACTCCCTCCTGTACATTTACTTAGTTGCTACTTATTTTCCTTTATTTAAAGTCTGCTTCAACAATTGTTGTGAGCCTGAAGCAGGTAAATGCAGGGGGATTATGCCTTACTGCCAGCTGCATTTTGCAGACTACAGGTGGTTTACAGCTATCTTCCTGCTTTTTAAACTGAGACTTTTGAGACAGAAGAAAAAGCAACGAACAGTGAACACAACCTGCTTCCTAAACTTCCTTCCAGACCATCACTGAACCAGTAACGTCCTGTTATGCTGAAATAATGTGAAAGATGTTTGCTTTTGGCTGGGACAAAGCCTGAGGTTTAACCATGAAAGCTTTTGTGGAATCATATGGGAGTAGTAGTAACTTACTAGGATATTTTGGAAATTTTTTCTCATTCTGTACCCTTCTGTGGAATTACTTGCCGAAATAAATAACTCATTGTATTAGTATTTTAAATTAACACAGTAAAATTTTTGATAGAGCCCGTTAAATTTAAGGACTAGGCCTGTTTGAGCAGGCTAAATCAAAGGCCAGGATGTATCACTCACTTCCTGGAGGATTACTGACCTCCTCAGGTGCTGCTATCAACACCTCATGAGGCAGAAGAGGGAGTGATTCCAGTACTGACAAGCACAAAATCCTCCCCTTAATGGCTACAGGTAAAGATGAAAACGTTCCCTCCTCGTGGGAGCTCCCCTTTATTATGGTCAGCACATTACAGGCTCACAAATGGGCTCTGAGGGATGAGAAGGAAGGGTTGTCTGGTCCCTGGCCTGGCTGAGCCAAGTGCTGCAGCAAGCACAGTGATAAACGTGGGGTCTGAGGATACTCTCCCCACCCACTGCTCTAACTGGAGAACTGCTTCCATGAACGACCTGCAAAAATAAAAATCTGCTCCCTATCTGCTCCTCTCCTCTTCCTTGTTCTCCCAGTTCTGGGCTCACTTTCTATCCCCAGTCTTCTGGTCTAGCAATAGGGCTGGAAGTGCCTCATGGAAGCAGAAGCAAAGGCAGGGGAGCACAGATGCTCCCTGGGAAGCACCAGGAGCCCAAGGGACAATTCCCAGCTTCAGTTGATCCTCCCTCTTGAGAAAGCTCTTTTCCTCAGCACTATTAAGCACATAAGCAACACCAAGGATTTTGATATTTAATCCTAATGTTTTGTGGAATGGGTTTGGTCCTAGAATCCATTTTGTAATCCTGTTAGCAAGGCAGGCTGACACCTGTCCCCCACTGCTTTGTCAGCAATGTACCTGCCAGACAGCAAGGTCAGGAAGCAGAACAGCCTACAAAGGTAAGAAGACATGTGTTGGTTACCTGGTGGGGTTACCTGTTGGCACAGGGGCAACACAGAGAGTCACAGAGCTGGGTTGGGGCTGGGCCAGCAGCTCTGTGCACTGACCAAACTGGCTGGGGCATCTCCCAGCCCAGCGAACCTCAGACATCCCACAGGCCCGACTGGAGTCAGCAGGACTCAGAGCTTATCTATCCATTATTTCCCCAGGATATTACTCTCAAACTTCTGCTTCAGGACATACCCAACAATAATTCTCTCCTCCTCCAAAAAGAGGGTTCTGTCAACTACTGGGTTCACACTTCTGTGATATAAAGTGAAAACACACAGGCTGTGACAGGCTGCATAGGAAGAAGGATGGGGAAGGTGAGTGGAAAGGTGAGTTCATGGTACAGCCACCCTAAAGCTTTTATGTACTCTAAGACCAAGTTCCCAGGTCCCAGGACCTGCAGAGCTCAGAGCAGTACTACTGGCAACTTTTGGAAATTGGACACAAAGTCTCAGTGAATTTGGAGACCTCCCATACTCCTAGGACGTTCCCATCTCACTCACCTGGGGAGCAGCAGCAATCCCAGCCTGGCAGGGCCGATCTTCTCTTTGTGGGACAACTACACCAGTGACATCCACTGCTGTCGGTGCCTTGGCACCAGGATGCAAGCAGATACCATCTTCTGGGACCTTTAAAAATTCAGCCTTGCAAAGCTCCCAGGATCAAAGTGTAGCTGTCCCTCAACAACTCAGCTGTGTCCTAAAACATTCCTCTCTTGAGATCACCTCAGCTCACTGAATTATGAGGGTCAATCACCTGCAACATAAAGGGGGCGAAGGTACATTTGACTTGAAAACTGTTTCCTAAAATCAAGGGTCTGCTCGCAGCAGGCACTGAGAGCCCAAAGGGTTTTTACTAAAAGCTAGAATGATTTGAGAAGTCTGGTCCAATCCATTCATCTTAGAAGATGTACTCTGGATCACAGACTACAAATTTTTTGGGCTATGCAAAGCTTGACTCAAGCTCTAGATCCCTCTTCTGCTGACACCACACAAAGGGTGACGCCAATACACCTTGTCTTCCACCCAGATAAAAGCACTAATAATAGCTAATAAAGCAGATAATAGCTCATTCCCAACCCTCAGAGCCCCTAATGAGGACTGCTGGACTGCTCCAATCACTCCATGAGGCCTGGCTGCCTGTCCAGCAGGCAGTGAGCACCACAAGCCCACTGTCTGTCATCTAAGAGTGCAAACCTTTCTCAAGCTGCAGATTGGCTCAGTCTCTCTAGGTCAAATCTGGCACCTTAATAAGGGGCTTCAAACCAGCTTTTCTGCAGTTCAGGCTCTGGGAAAAGGTCTCAGACCACCAACAGGTCTCTGCTGACCACAAGTAGAGCACCTAGACCTCTCAGGAGATGAGGACAGCATGGTGTGAGGACAGAGGACACTGCCATCTCCTGCTACATTAAATGTGTGGTAGGAAGAACAGCACCACTAACACGCCACATAAATCAGTCATCTAAATTAGAATACACAAATCCACTCCAAAAAAGTTTAATGTAGGTTCCTGGGGCATCATCTTCTGAAAAAAAAAACAACCAAAACCCAAAATACAGTACAAAGAAAAAAGGCAAACAGAATTCCCCAGTATTTGAAATAATGAAATGTATCAAAGCTCCAACTATTACAAGGCTGCTGGAGGAAGTAGTATCAGCCTGAAGACCAGGAGGCTTCACCTCCCAGAGACAGCCTGGAATAAGCAGCACCCAACCGACAAACCTGGTTCCTTAGGGAACTAGTAAGACTCCCTGAAAGGAAAAGGGCAGAATTCTGTACTGCAGTGAGCTGCCCAGCATCCCTGCTGGGAGATGAACCAGACAGGCTGATCCCACACTGCTGAAGCTCTGTGAAAGCACATATCCTGGGAGGAGTAGTACCTTCCAGCAGATCCCACCAACTGTGTGGCAAAACCTACTCCTTTTGAGAAATCCTGGTATCAGAGGAAAAAGAGCCATTAAAACGGCCAGTCAGGAGACCAGGAAGGGATCTAAGACATACCATGTTACTAGCTGGGAACAGAAACGAGCAATGGATCTTGAGTTAGGTCAGCTCCATACAGACCCAGTCCCAGGGATGACTGTGATACCCTGTGTGTCTCCCATTCAGTCTTTGGATTGAATTATCTTAGCATAATTTAGGCAAGAACGTCTGCTGGTCTCTGCCTCAACCCCATCCCATTCAAAGCACAGCCAACTTCAACATCCAATTAGTTCAGGGCCTTCTCCAGATAAACACTGAGTTATCTCCAACAATGGAGATCTCAGGACTCCAGCACACAGTAAGCAATGCATGGGCCATGGCAGTACTTGTGATGTACTTGAGCTATGGAGCAGCCAACTTGGAGCCAAGAGAGAGCTGCTTTCCTTCCATCTGTCAATCTTCAAATGACAACAGTCTGATTTAATATAGCCCCAACACCTAAGGGCAGTGACCCATGGCTGTTCCACTCCACTTCAGGGCTGCCACAAAGCACTCATTTTCAGAGGTACTATGCTCAAGAAGCAGCCAAGCCTCCCTGATGTTCAGCCCAACCTGACAGTAACCATGAGAGCTGAGGGAAAAGCTGGTGGAGCACTTATTCAAACAACGGAAACAGAGATTCCTATGGAGAACAAAACTATGAGCTCGGAGGCAACAAGGAACCAGCTGATGTCAGACAGCCTCAAAAATATAACAGACATTAAGTAACCCAGGTGCTCAGTGAACACTGCAGACAGGAAAGTGTCATCACGAAAAAGCTAATATTACAGTTGGAGAATAAACCAAGACATTTAAAGCCTGCTGGGAAGCAATAAAACCTTTGCTGACACAAATTCCATGGACTCCCCAACAAACGCTAAACATGAGCAGTGAATCTGCAGATCTAGATGCCCTCTGAAAAACTGAGATAAATAGAGGAGTGGTGGGAAGGGCTGAGAGACCTCCTTCTCCTTGCCACTTTCCTCGCAGAGAGGAGAAGCACCTCTTCCCATGAGCTGGCAAAGGGTCCTCTCCTGTGGCATGTGCACCACGCCAGGTGAGCCTGCTGTCCCCACACTGCCCTGACATGTGCACATGTGAAGGCTGAGACACCCTCCAGACCACAGGAATCACCAGATTTTCTGCTGTGATCCCAGCAGGAGCACAAAGCACCCTAAAGGCCAGTTAGGTGCCTCTAGGAGCTGAGAACGGCCTGGCCCGCGGCCCCTGCGGCACAGCCCCCACGCGTGGGAGGAATGTGTGCCCGAACCCCGTGGGTCAGGCGGATGGAAGGGCAGGCTCTGGACATCCAGGACGGTGGCAGGGAGCCGGGCATCCCGCGGCCCGGCCCCAGGCAGGCACGCAGAGAGCAGGCAGGGCAGGAGCACAGCGGTTTATTGGCAACACGAGCAGAGGCGGCGGCGGTGGCGGCGGCGAGCCCCGAGCGGGGTGCGGGGCGGCGGTGCTCCGGCGGCGGGGGCCGGGGCCGCCCCGGGCCTATGTCAGCGTCTCCCCCTTGGTGACCTACAGGAAAAGGAAAAACCTCAATCAGGGCCGGCCCACGCGCGGCCTACACCCGGCCCACCGCCCCGCTGCTCACCCGGGCCTCGATGTACTCGATCCTCCGCTCCAGCGCCGTCAGCTTCTCGTTCAGGGTGGCCAGTCGGGACCGGCACGACATGTCTGCGGGGAGGCAGCAGTGAGACACCGCGGGCCGCACGGCCTGGCCCGGCCCGGCGCGGCCGCAGCCCCCACCCCGCGCCCCTACCGAAGGAGTTGAGGAAGTCCGCGATCTTCTTGATGGAGCTGGTGATCACCTCGATGTACTCGCGGTTGGCCCAGTCCTGGTGGATCTCCCGCTGCACCGGGTCCTCCTGCACCGACATGGCCGCCGCCGCCGCGCCTGCGCGGGAGCCGCGCCCCGCCCGCTCCTCGCCGCCCTCAGGGCCGCGCTGCCGAGGGGCCGGGCCCGGCCCCGCCGCGCTGCTCGCTGCCGTCCGTGTCGCTGTCGCTCGGTTCCTGCGGGACGAGCCGCCGTCAGCGCCGGGGCTGCACCCCCGCCCTCCCCCGCCTTGGACAGGCGCAGCCCGGCGGCCCCCGAAGTACCTCCTCTACGGGGCCCTCCGCCGAGTCCTCCGAGTCCTCCTCATCCGAACCCCTCTCCTCAGAGCCCTGAGTCAAAATTTCTTCCCCCTAAGTCGAACACAAGATCTGTGCTGAGTGTATGTGAAGCGGCCAAAGCGTGCCAGGGTGGGATGGGAGAAAAGGACATTTTGTTATCTTCTTAAATAAAAAGATTTAGAGTTTAAAAATTCAGGTTTTGTTTAATTGTCCTGCTTCTACAGTGAAAGATGAAAAGCCAGAACTGGCTTCTTTTAACGCCACACATGATAGTGTGTGAAGGTGTTCAAGTGACCTTTATCTCTTCTCTCTTGTGCATGTAGTTCTTGCCACAGAACAGCCAAAAAATCCTCATACCTGTTCATTACGATCAAATCTGACCCCTCCGTGCAAGAGCTTAGAGATGCAGACTCTTAATCCTGAAATAAAATGCTTCTTTCTCCTGCACTAAACATGACTGTACTATGGTCACACTGAATTTGGCCTTTTAGCTATACCCACACACAAAGGGAGAGTTAGAGTTGTCTGGACAAGATGAGTATTGTCCTCTCCCAGATTTTAACTGCCCCAGGCAGGGCAGTGATTCTCACCTGAAGATCCCGATTTTTGAGGATGCCAACCCAGAAGGCCTCCTGGCAGTGGTTGAATGCCAGCATTGCCTTCACTCTGTACACAAATTGTTCCAGAGACTTCTTCAGCAATGGCACATGGTTGGTCAGTCCAATGTCTTGGTGAATCTAAACAACAGTAAAATGTGATGAGGATTGATTCTTGCCTAAGTGTTCTGGCTGTTTAAAAGCCATTGGTTATCAGGTGGGATGGACATGACCCCCACAAAGCTTGCTCAGATGACATCACTTCTTGGCCAAATTATAGCTATTGTTAAAAAATAAAGCTCAGATCAGAATTTTGTTTAAACTGATCCCTTACAACAATCCAAATATCCACATTCACCTGGATTAAAATAAAAGAAGCCTGGTTTTGTCATAAACTCTGGAGAGAAGCTAGTAACTCCTATGCTGAATTTCCAAGCTCAGAAAAGTAAAAACAAGAAAGGTGTTAAAATACAGCACTTCGATCACAACCTTTTCTTGCTCGGTGCCTCATGCAACTCCTTTTACATGGAATGTGTGTGCACTATAATCTCCAAAGACAGCTTCTCTGAAGCAAAGGAGCACTGGCTTTTGGAGAACTAGGACAGGAGGAACAGATGGAGTTGTGTGAGTAAAAACCACCAGAGGGAGGGCAGCTATGCCAGGTATCCTAAGAGATTTAGCTCTGGGTGAGCATCTCCTCCTGCTTGGCTTCAATCTGCAGTACAGAACAGTCATTGCTAAAACAGAAAGCCTGTCAACCTGCCAAAACCTGCACATTTATTTTGTACATAAGTATTTTTCTCTTTCATGAGAACACTTTGTAATCTTCTGGGATTAAGATGCTCTCATTAGCTGTACTCTGAATTCAGGTCACCTGCATTTCTTGAAAGAGTTCAACATGCCTGGACAGAGTGACACTGCTTTGCTTCAAGTTCTGCCAACAGGGAATGGGTGATTACCAGCAGCAAGCTGTTTTCTAGCCTATGTAATAGGCAGGACCTAGCAATTATCAGCAGTAATCAGAACCAAATCAGCAGAACCTTGCTAATGACACAGTCAACACTCACAGTGCTCCCTGGGCCCTGGAACCTGCCCAACTGCATGCAGGCAGTTTGAGGACTCAGCAAAGCACAGCATTGGCAAAAATCTGTCTCCAGAAACTGTCCACGTGCCCAGGGTTAGATATGTAAACAGAAAAGAGGCTTGGAGTGAAAGAGGAAATGACGAATACTTAGGAAATTACAGGTGAAACTGATTGCTACTGCCTGCTGTGTAATAATGCTCTTTAAAGACACATGTATTGAGGGAGACTGACAAATCCTAGGTTACATTGCACCACGGGTTAGCAAGCATTCCTGAGGTTTGTATGAAAGTGAAATCAAGGTGAGTTTAACAAATGTTGGTGTCAACTCTTCTTCAAACAAGTATGGAGCATTCATTGCGTACATTTACTTGCCCCAGATTCAGTTTCTGCCTTGTCATTCTTGCAAAATGATTTGGCACACAGACCTGTACCAGAGAAGTGGTAGAACACAAGTGTTCATTAATTGCAGCTCTGTGCTAACAGGAACCATGGGACACAGCACTTGAAAATGCTGGTGAAGTGCAAAGACAAACATAACATGGAAAGCTATAATGCTGTTATCCTGCTTACAAGGTGAATTGTGACTAAAGCAGGCATGAGGGTTTCACTTTCAAAAGTGAGAAGAACTTTTTAGCATTGTCAGGGTTTGTGCCAGCTTCCAATTCTCACCCTGTGCTGAGCACTGCAACAGCATGTTCTGATCTTCAGCTAAAGTATCTATGCTCCTGATGCCAGCTCTGGCCTGAATGGGTAGCAAATCTGGACTGGGAGCCATGCTGGTAGCTGGCTTTCTCCCTTCAACTACTTTGGCTAAGCTTCCTTCTTGGACAAGTGTTCATGAACCTTTTAGGAGTCAGGAGCAAAGCAGCATACATGTTCTTTCTGTCTCCTCCCGTGTGATTCTCTCTTGCAACAAAGACTGTCTCTCCATACTGTAAGCAAAGTTCTAATCCTCTCCTTGCTTCCTGCCCCAAGTTTCCCACAGAGACAGACAGATTCGTTACCACCATCCTCCTTCTCCCTTTGCCCTTACCAACATGACATTAAAGTCATCTCAAGAGGACTTTGAGCAGGGTTTTTCCCCGTCCACCTCCTGTTGCTGATTGTTCTGACTCACAAGGCTGTTCATCTTTGGCAAAGCTTCTCTCCTGTATTATCAATCTGGTATCTGTACTTTGTTCAAGGTCTCCAAGGCTGTAGCTTGTGTCCTCAGAAACAATCCCTTACAGATACCAACAACCAAAGATGTCCAGAACCTGTGTGCTAAAAAAATATCATGCCAACCTGACCTAACATCCAAGTCAGCAAATTGCAGAATAAATGCTTCAACTTTTGGGGCATTAAACTCTGAGTTTTTGCTTGCACAGACACTGCTGGAAGCATGCAAGTATAACCTGCCAGTGCCCTGGGAAAGCAGTGGAAGGGAAATAATACCATCCTTAGGACAGGAGTTTGTGCTGCAGTTGGAACTTATCTTACCTTGGAATGACCACACATGTGATGAAGTTGTCTGGTACTCAGCTGCAAGGTTTTCAGCAAACTCTGCACATCGTCCTGCAATAAATAAGCAGACCAGAAAAATCATTCTCAAAGGACTTTTCCATGGGGAAACAAGAATATTGAAACAGCCTTAGTCCTAGCAATCCTTTCAAAGGGTTATGGGATAGAGGTAAGATGTGTGTATGCAGCAAGTATCAGTCATAATTCCCAGCTGTTTGCAGCCAGTTCTGTCCCCAGGATTACCGTGTGCTTTTTGAAGCTGTGGTCCAGGAGAGGCATAGCAAGCTTCAGAAATGCTTCTACAAAGAGGCGGCCGTACTATAAAAGAGAGATAAATATATCAGAAAGCAAATGTCTCCTTCTCAAAGAACCATCACAAAGTCAGATGAGATCACGATACAATCTTCCAAGCTACTCCAGAAACTGTTCTTGCTTAGAAAAAGATTATATTCATGTGAAGGCTGTACTGGAGTATACAGGATCAGTAAAGGGTCCCACTTTGATCACTGCAAAAAGAGGCTAGAAGGACAAGGTCTCATCATTGTACACATCCCTGGTTTTATCCACCAGGCATCTGGGAATAAAACTGAATTAAATGCAAAATGTTAGAATCACTATACATATATATGAATAGCAAGGTGTAAGGAACACAGCATCTGCTTCTTCCAGAGAATCCAGTACCCACTCTACTGCACTAGAGGCAATGATTCAAGAAAACTGAAGAGAGCAGTTTAAGTACCAGCTATCTTGAACTTTTGCTTACCTTCAGACAGATGTTGAGTACAGGCCTGCTGTCAAATACCTACATGGACAAGAGGAAAAAAAGAGTCAGATCAATCCACATGTCTAAAGAAAACCAGGTAAGCACATTAAAAATGACCCTTCATGGCACACCCCTGTGAGTGTGTGAACCCTGCTCTAAGGCAATAGCCATTCTCAAATTTCAGCAGGAACACCACATAAGCACATGAACTGTAGTGGCTGTCAGGCGGAAGCCCTTGGCAGGATTGCTGTTCAGTGGTCTAAGATGCACCTTTTGCAGATGGCACAAAATTATCTTAGCAAGTCTGAAGTTCTTAACAGTTTGGGACCCAAGAGACCCAAGCCCAGATGATGGGCAAATAATTTCATAGTAGACAAAGCAAAACTGAGATGGGAAAAATAATGTGAAGGTAACCCTGGTGCTGCCATGGACTAAACTGAACTATGGACAAAACCAAACTAAGTGGTCCAGCTCTACTCTTTATGCTCTCCAGAGCCATCTGGAGCTCAGGTAGGGCTCCAGTGAATGCTGCTGTATAGAAAAACCTGAGCTTGCCAATTACCACTTCAGATATGAAAAAATAAACAGTAATGATCAACCTAAGCAAGGAAAAAAGTGGAGCTGTACTTAACACCTTCTAGCCCAAACAGCATCACACTCAGAGACAGTGAATGAACCAGCTCCAAAAATGACAGAAGGGGATATTTCATCCAGTGGGACTGGGCACAGAATATAACTGGCTTTAATTATCACCTCCAGGTTGTTCCACTAGTCAGTCACACTTCATGTTTTTCCTTGGTGCTGGGAACACCAGGCCTTACTGG